GGGGGAGGGAGGGGGATCGGCAGGACCTACGGGTGCGGAGGGCTTGGGGGGGAGCGGCGCAGGGAGAGGGGCGGATGGCAGGATGCTAGGACCCGGGGGAAGTGGTGAAAGGGACGGCGAAGGAATTTTATCAATGCGATTAGCATTTGAAGGGGAGGGGTCTGTTGCAATAGATAAGGATTTTTCTTCCGAGGATGTTTGCACTGAAGTTACGACTTTTTTGTTAGTTTTTTTCTACGGCTTTAGTTATAATGTGCAATATAGGGATAAACCAAGTTACAGAAAAGATATCATGCTAATTGTTGTTTAGTCCTCTGTGTTCAATTAATACTGTTTAGATAACATAGGCTTGTGGTAGAGTCAGAGGCACCCTCTTGAACCTTCTTGAGATTTTTGCACTTCTGTGGGAAAGATCAAAGCTCAGTGATAAATTACACCTGCATGAATCCCTGAAATATAGGCAAAACCAGCAGTTTTGATGATCCTCTAGCAAGGATCAAGCAGTGCCTGTGTTCCCACTTGTGTGCCTCTGCTTAGGTGCTGCTTTGTGGATCTCCAGCTCCACAAGGTAACAAAATCAAATTTACACTTTGCATTTCATATGTGATTTTGTGGTTGTTCCTTTATTCTGTCAGCTCACACATTCATCATATTCCTCCCAGCAAAGAACTCAAGATGTTGACAATTCACCATAATACCCCTACAACAAACACTAGTATGAAGCCACTGACCTTGGAGCAGAGGAGCAGAACCTAACATCAGCAAATGCTGTAGAAACTTAGAAGTGCATGTATATAGAATTGTAACTGCATATATATTCTTTCTTTTTCTGTAACAATTAGATCTGGACCCTTTTTCAATTATGCTAACAACAAATTCTTGACTTATCTATGACGTGGGCTTCCTCTTTGCCTATAAACAAGATTTCAAGAGTAACAAGCTCCAGAGGAAAAATGCAGCTTTCCAGGTCACAGGTTGAAGGAAGTGCCTGAGGCCTCTCCCTGAGTCTATGACAGGCAGAGACAGTGTACTTGACTGCAGGAGGTGTCCTCTGGCTGAGGAGCTGTGTTGCCAAGTTGAGGAGATGCAGGAAAAAGTGAACAGAATGTGCAACATTAGGGGAGATGGAATAGAGATTAACGGGATGTGGGGCAAGTACTGCCTTATATGGTATTTCTGAATACTTTGAACCAAATCTCTACCTAGTTAGGATATTCTAAAAAGAACCTTCCCTATCTCCACTTCTCCATGTTGTTAATTTATGACAATATCTTGTGAAACCCTGTTGTATTGCACTAAATAGTTTATTTAGTTGTTGTTTTTTCACTGATCACATGGTCTTCCACCTCCCCCCCCCCCCCCAAG